AAAAGGTAGCAATATATTAGGGAATTCTTGCCACGTTATATAAGTAGTAGGTGTGAATAAGTAAGTAATTCAATCTATATTAATAAAAACTATTCACATATTTTAAATAATAATGTTGAAAATCAAGGTATAAATATTAAATATTTTTCAAATTAACTTTCAAAATAAATACAAACAAAATGATGAATAAGTAGCTATTTAATCTATACTAATAAAAACATTATTGATATACTATAATAGTTTATATGAATTAAAATTTTCAAATACTTCTTTGAAAATGATGGTCTTTTTTATTTATTTGGGTAGAGATAAAGATGTATTATACACATATTTATTAATAAAATTTGAATAAATAATAAATTTGTCAGAATTCAAATATATATCATAAAATACATTACATTAATTGTGTAATTAGAGCATCAAATTGAATTCAAATATGTTTATAAATTAATGAACATTTAAATAGAATAAATATTTTACATATATAATAGTTTACATATATAATAATAGACTCATTAATTAGTATAATTGATTATTGATTAATAAAACATAAATATACTACATAATGACATATGAAATTTAAATAATTATAAAATCTCATATAATGATATGTGGCAAAAGCTTTGAAAAAAATGAAAAGTGGAAAAAAAAAAAAAAAAAACATTAATTTATTAAAGATTATTTGTTTATTTATTTTGTCATAGTATTCCCAAAACATAATAACCAATTATCAATCTTGAACTCTCCAACCTTCTCTGACTTAGTTTTTTTTTTTTAATTATTAAAACATTTACTAAAGCAAAACGATATTTAATATATATATATATATATATATATATATATATATATATATATATATATATATATATATATATATATATATATATAAGTAAGTTCATGCGAAAATATAAATATCCTGCGAAAACGCGAAAACAGATTTTATCTTATGAAAATTAAACACATGTACTACAAAAAAATAATTTTATTAGCAATAAATTAAAGATAGTAAGTTTACATTGGATGGTGTTATGGTAATATAGATTTAAAGACGGTTTTTATAATTATATTTTTTTTCACGTCCTTAATCATTTTTAAATTCATGTTTTCATAATAAAAATGTTAAAAATCATACTTTGGTAATAAGAAACAGTTTATCATCTATCATCGATTATCATCATGTATTTCAAAGTTTGGATGAATTATTTTCCAAAATATAATGTTAAGGTGACATAATATCATAGGTTTTTCTTGTTTTCGCGTTTTCGCAAATTATTTGCATTTTCGCATGAACACTCCCCTATATATATATATATATATATATATATATATATATATATATATATATATATATATATATATGGTACAAATAGTGAATCATGAAAGCTCTCGGTTGGGAATGATCACGAACTGACCCAAGCCTACCACGCCAAACCCAATGGTATTCAGAGCTGTAAGTCCGATGATTTTATTGTTGGCACCATTTTCAAGCCAAAAGACATGAGACCGTTCCCCTTAATGATATTGATATTAACAAATATGATATATTCATAGGGGTGACAATTTTCGATACAAGCTGTAACCCGACACAAAAATAAACAAGTTTGGATTTAGATTTCTAACCCACCAACTCGTTTATTTCATAGGTTGGATTAGATTACTTGTTTTGGTTCGCGGATCGAACCGCCAACCCGACTATATATTATATTAAAAAATATTTATGAATTAATGGAATACATTATACGGCGTGTCCTAACATTTTAACCCTAAATTCAATTATATTTCTCGATCCATTCAGGACGTAAGAGGCTTAGGCTCCGTTTGATAGTTGCTGACTGAGAAAGTGCTGACTGGGAAAAGTCTGTCTGTGTTAGAAATCCTGACTGAGTAAGAAATCATGTTGTTTGATTGTACATCTGACTGGATGTGCTGACTGATAAAATGTGACCATTTTACCCTCATTCTAAACCAACATGCTAAAACATTAATATTTAAAGTAATTTATCATAACTTTTATCATGATCAAGAACAATTTTAAACATAAAACAATTTTCTACTAATGAAATCAACATCATCCTAAATAATAATAGCACAATGAAGGTCAACATTGGCAACATATATTCGAATAATATTCAAAGATTACACTAACCAATTCATTTAAATATTCAAAGATTACACTCTTATAATGCTCAACAATCATCACCATTAATGAGAACATTACAATCTCTAAATGCATTATCACCTTCTTGGGGTTGCGGATAGACATCAAGGAAATCAAAGATCAAAAACAAATCAACTATAGATATAAAAAGAGAACATATGTTCCTTTGTAGTAGGCTACCGACTAAATTAATAAGATAAGTAAACAAGACTGAAATTCCAAAAAAATAGAAATCTACATACTTTCACAGCTTGTGGGTCTTCATCACAACTTTCCTCAGCCACACCACTCTCGTCTACCTTTTGTTTATTGCTATTTATTGCTTTCTTATCAATATTCTCCTCTGGGTTCCTCTTGCCTATACCTCATAAAAACCATCAAACCACACAAGAAGCTATAACCTTTTTACAATCACTAAAACCATTGTTATCAATGTGAAGACCCAAACTAAACTATTTCATACATCAGTATTTAATTAAAAAATAAAAATATCACCAAACTACAGGCAATCAATCAAGACTAGACTTTTACAAGGGTGGGCTTTTTGTCATTCATATAAAAAATCATTTCTAATCACAAAACACAAGAATAATATACATCTCAATATCTCATACACATACCAACAGTATAGTATAATTTATAAGATAGCCCTAAAAAAGGAATAATAAATTTAAACATTAATTACCTTTTTATTGCTTTGTTCGAATAGACTACAAAAGCTAAAGTTTAATCAAGTTGAAAACAACCTAAAACAAGCAAATAATTAGAGGGTGGGATTCAAATTTCATACCAATAGCACAAAAACAATTCTGATTTTAGAGCTTATAAACAAAGAACTTTTGATTTTAAAGGTTATGTACAAACGGTTTTGATTGTAGAACTTACCTGTTGGAGAAGACGAAGATCTGACAGGGAGGGAGCTGTTCGATGTTGATGGAGGCAGCGATTGGGAATGAGCTGTTCGATGGAGGCGATAGAGTAGGCGTCTGATTTTGGACGCGATCTCTTTTAGGTCACGAGAAATTTTTTAGAAGGCTTGATGGTCTTTTGGGCGAGTCAGCAACATCTTCACAGCTGAGCGAGTCATATATTTGGGCTAGACAAGCTGACCAAGACATCTCGTATCAAACACGAAAAGCTGATCGAGAAAGCTGATTTATCTGATTCAGTTTGGGTCAGATGGGTATCAAACATCCCCTTAGTAGCCAGAGATATTTGCACCCAAACATCTCGTCGGTTCGTCATACACCACCAATTGCACTTTGTATAAATGGTTTTAATTTCATTTGAATGTTTATGAGTTTATAACTTTACGACTTTATGTTGGAAACCTATTTTTTTTTAAATATGTTGATTATTAGTTATTATGTTAGATACTTATATTGGTATTTAGTTGTTCATTTTATTGTAGTCAATGTAAAATGCTAATTATTAATTAATTTAGAAACATCTATAATTTATATAAATTTACTATGTAAAAGGTTATCCAAAAATGACCCATCGACTTTTTGACCTGAAATCAACTCACTGACATATGAACATGCGAACCCATATATTTAAACGGGTTATATGGGTTGGGTTAGATTGATGTTTAAAGTGCTAATTGTTAATTAATATGGAGGTTCAAACCATATATTGTAGTCAATGTAAAATGATAATTGTTAATTAATTTAGACCCATCAATTTATGATCCGTCAAATTGTACCCAACCCAATTTTCATACCTCTACATTGATGTCATTTAAGAGATATTACAACTATTTTATACATTGATGTCATTTAAGAGATATTACAACTATTTTATGCATAATATCATATTGCAAGAAAAAAGTAAAACTCTTTATGCCCAATACAAGTTGAGTATTTGTATAGAACAACTTGTAGTCAAATGTCGAGGTAATTGTGCACATGACATGAATGCTTGCTACTCCTTTTTGGTCTCACAAAATATTTCGAGTAATGATACAACCGTTTCGATAAAATATTTAAAATACTATTTGATAGAAAAGGGTAGTAAACTATGATTGATAACCAGTCCACACACTTTACATAATAAAATAATAAAATACATAAACATAAACTCTAGACGTTTACGAAACTATCGTGAAGTCATGGACATTTTTTTTATTAAAAGGTCGGTTTTCAATTTTAATTAAATTTTAGAGAAATTATTTAAATACAATATTAGTTAACTCCAATTTGATCCAATACACAAACCTCCATGATTACATAGAGATTAGAAACTGAGTAGTGCCAGAATTTGATCCAATATCTTTGACATGTTTTATCAACTCACTACAACCCAAATGGTTAACTATCTTTACAAAAGTTATCGGGTAAATTACCTAAAATATACATATGTTTAGATGATTGTCAATTTATCATTTAAATTTTAAAAATTAATATTTAAGTTAAAATATAATTTAATAATTGATGTCATAAAAGTCAATAAAAAAGATAACATAAATATATATATATATATATATATATATATATATATATATATATATATATATATATATATATATATATATAAATAAAATCTAAATTTTAATTTAAAAAAATATAAATTATAAACTTGAAATTAGTGAAAAGTGATAATTATTTTCAATTGATTGGGCCACCTCCGGGTCACGAGACGAGTTAGGAGTTAAACAGCATTGGACCGGGTTCAATAAAGTCATGCATCGGGTGATGCCATATAAATTGGTTCCAATCGGTTTTTTGATTGCTTCTGATGAAAGTAAAACCCGTGTGGAGAAATTTACAGGTTTTGAACAACTGACACACAATTACAAACGCATGCACACACACACACAGCCATTGAAGTAATCATCAATAAAATGGATGCTTCGAGCAGGCAGATCGATGAAGGAATAATATTCATGGAAGGTTGGCTGTATCTCATACGCTCCAATACTATCGGATTCAAATATTCACGCAAGCTTTACTACGTTCTTCAGAATCACCATTTCATGAGCTTCAAATCTATCCCTCATTTTTGTAATCAGGTTTGTTCAATCCCCGTCACGTTTTGTTTATTACTGTACTATGCATGTGGTTAGGTTTTCAATATTGATGTGTTCATTTCATACTACTTCAATTCTCCCTCATTCATGTGTTGATTACTACAACACAAATTTATGTATACCTTTAAATTAAAGTCGATCACTGTGCGCCGACGCTTCTTCACTTTTCTGGTCATTAAGTATTGGGAGTTTGGACAAATTAATTCTGTTGTAGTCGCGTACCAGTTGCTCTTTCTCCATGATTCACATAAATAAAGTATTCCCAAATAATCTTCCTTTTTTTTTTTTTTTAAATAATATTCTTTTCGCTTGGAGATAACATCACAGGTAGGGTCCTTTTCTTGGTTGCAGTTATTCTTTATTGATTCACAATAAATGCCCCCTCCCTCAAAAAGGCTTTATGAGAGCTTGTGTTAAATGTAAGCTGTGATGAATTATGGTTACAAGTTTGAAGGATATTATTGTAATTTGTCCCAACTTGTTTTTAAAGGTGGAGGGTATGTGATCTCTCCTGTGAATCAGTATAAACAATCAGTTGTAAGACACATGCTTTCCATTGATTGGAAATTCTGGAGATCTTATCTACAAAAATCATCAGGTCAATGCATTACAATTCACATGCTTGCGAGACTTGCAGGTTGCTTCTTCACACAACTTTATTTATTTATTTATATTTATTTTTTTAAATTGACTTTCGTTTTTTTTACTGAATCACTCTATGTACATGTAGCATTGAGAGAGCTTCTTAAAACAAACTTATCCGATTACTTATTCACCGAGTTCACTTCACAAGAATTGAAGAAAGAAAGTTTGATGCAGCATCATAATGAAGCTTCAAATGACTCGGACATTGTAAAAATGGATGATCATTATTCAGATGAATTTTTTGATTTTGATGATGAATCGGAATGCGACTACATAATCACTCTTCCAGAAGATCAAACTGGTAATTTGGCCCACAGTTGGTCATCACCAGAACCTTCTTTATTTCCAATCCGTGGAGAATCTTTTCTAGAAGACCGTAAAAAGGTTATAAAAAAGTTTTTTTTTACCATTTTTAAAACAGTAAAAATCATCGTCCATTTTTTTTTAACCAGATTACAGCAGAAAGTACATTGCTAAAAACAGTTGCTGTTGACTGGCTTAAATCAGACAAGCGTGAAAATCATCTTGCTATTCGCCCTGGGAACATTGTTCAGAAATATGCAGCTGCTGGTCGCCCAGAATTCTTCATTGTTATTAACTTTCAGGTAATTAATTAATTATATATATATATATATATATATATATATATTATATAATTACTAGATTGTTGTGATTAATTAATTAATTAATTAATTAATTAGGTCCCAGGTTCATTACATTATAATCTTGCTTCCTACTTTATGGCAAGTAGCCCTATCAAGGATACACCCTTGCTTGAGAATTTTATAAAAGGAGATGATGCATTTAGGAATTCAAGATTTAAGATCATCCCTAATGTATCTAAGGTCAGTAAATTGAGTATACTTCAATTCGTTTTACTTTTTTACTTTCCATAAAATTAATTTACATGCAGGGACCATGGATTCTGAGGCATGCCATTCGTAGACCCACTCTGGTTGGTCAGATACTTAAAATCAACTACATCCATGGCAACAACTACTTGGAGGTAAATTCAAAATTACCATAACTTTTTTAACTACATTAATTCATTTTTAAATTATGTTTTTATTTATTTAACATGATTAATTTTCAAAGTTGTTATATACTTTAATATGTATAGATGGATGTGGATGTTGGTTCATCAGCATTGGCAAGGGGATTAGCTAGCAAGACTTTCAGTTGCTTTAGTAATTTGATAATTGAAATAGCGTTTGTTATACAGGTAGGTAAATGCAATTAGTTAATTAATAAAAGCATCAAAAAATAAAAATTCTAGTAATATTAATTTATGGTTCCTACAGGCGAACACACGAGATGAGCTTCCGGAACATGTAGTGGGAGCATTTCGTCTAAGTCATCTTGATATGTGTAAAGCTTGTTGGGCCAACCATACTAGCTACTAGCTAGTTCTTAATAATTCACACACCTACACACTACACACACATGATAACAATTGTGTATATAATAAATTGCAAATTCGATGATCTCGTGTAAAAAACTACACTTGACACTTGCTGTGTTTTGTACTTGTAAGATTACAAAAAGATAATCGAAATGAAATTTGGAGAGAAAACGTGCAAGTGTACATTACATAATTTAATTTGTTTATATATATAGCTATAGCTATTATAATATAGACTATATATAGTTGGTTGGTTAGAGATCATTTTCGTATGCCCAAATAAGATGTAATTCAATCATATGATATCATCTCGGTTTCCAATTTGACAAAAAGGCGTCCTACTTAAATTGCACACTTTCTTTCTTTGTAGTTTTGTAGTTTTCGGTGGGGTATGTCAAATTAATTACTAGAGGTGGTGGTGGTTTTATTTGAGATTGTTATACGTATGGTTTATATGAATTAGTTGATTTCAAACAAGTTGTTCATCGTGACTAGGTGGGCATGTTTGGTTTGGCTTAATTTCTGTTTCTGCCAAACACATAAATCATACCAAATTTTTGGTTTCTAGCCCAAAAAAAAAAAAAAAATTTGGTTATTTTAGATTAGTTTTCAATATTTTTTTTCACCGGTTGCATAAAGCAATAAAATCAATACTCGAATACATGAATATTGTAACACCTAGATTTTTAACTTGTGGTTTAAAAATATGCCAAAAGTATATATGTTGATTTGTAGTGTAAATTTGCGTAAAAAGTAATAAAATGGGTTGTTGGTGATGTTGATTATGAGGGTTAGTAAAGGTTGGGATTTAATTTTACGACGATAGAATTTAAGTGGTCATATTTAAAGAATAAAGGGACTGAATGGATTTTCAGAAATCTTGATAAATTTCTAAATGAGAGAGAGAGAGAGAGAGAGAGAGAGAGAGAGAGAGAGAGAGAGAGAGAGAGAGAGAGAGACTATTTTATTTTACAGGAATATTTTTTATAAAAGAAATAAATTGGAGTTGTGTTAATTATAGAAGTTTTAAAGTTTAGAGGTGAGATTTATTTTTAAAGACAACAAACAAGTATTTAAAGACCAAAGTGCTATTGGCTTTGTGAAGAGTTAGTTTTCTTGTGGACAAAAGGTGTGTATAAATCGTTCTAAAAAGTATGTATTTAAATCTTAAAAGTTTTAGAATTTTTGGTAAAAATAATTAATATAAAATAAATCAATACGAAAAAAACATATTAAAATAGTTATATTAATAATACAATATAGATAATTGGGAAAAAGAAACTATGTTAAAAATTAATTTTTAAAATATGAAAGTTAGGGTTAAAGTCGGTCAAGTGCCTAAATTAGCGTCATGGACTAAAATGATAAGAATTTGTAACCGGTTATTTTTTTTTTTTCAAAAACACTAAAAATGTTAAATTACTCGATGTCCCTTTTTCTTTTTATAAATCCACAGGTTTTAAATTGTTAATATCTAAGACGGCACGTATTAATCTAAACTATAAATGGTTTCCTCAAAAACTTTGTAAAAGATCTTATACATAAGTTAAGATGATGCTCTTAGACATAAGTTAAGCGAATCAGCCTCTGATTTTGTTTCCGCCCTTACGCAACGCTGCGGCTGTCGATTTGAGGAGAGTGAGAATCTGCAATGTTTATGTTGTGCGTTTGTCTTTCAGACTATCGAGATTAATCTGAATGCTATTCGGGACCCGTAGTGATCTTGAGATTTCCCCGGTGGAGTCCCGAGATTCAAGGGAGTTTGTGAACACAGGTAACCAGCAATATGTTTTGTATATATTTTGATTGAAACGGAAAACCACACTTCACAGAAACCCTCGCTTTCTGTATCTACTCGTCCTCTTTAGTTGACCTATTAAACAATATTTTGTTGAGAGTCAAGAAACTGCAAAACTTTATATGGGTATTTGAAGTTTGAGGTTATTATTATTATTAATTATAATATTTAATCTGTTCCAATTGTTCGATTATTCCTCTTGTTGATTGGATCGAAGTTGGGTTTTGTGAATCTAGTGAATGGATCATGCTCTGAGATTAGCTCTATTGCTGGTGCTTCTTGCCAAAGGTATATACTATATATACCTGTTATTAAAAATATTTTATATTCAGTGTGAATTGTATTGAAGTATGTGTAGATAATGCATTTAATTATAATTGTTCCATTGCTACTCAGTTTATCCATCTTCTAGTGCATATGAGTTTGAGCATTGCGAGAATACTGTCAAGCAATGGGCATCTTCATCTCTTCACTCCACCAGTATCAAAGATGGGCACATTCTCAAGGATTTGTTGTTCTTCCTTCATGTCCCAAGAACAGGAGGACGAACTTACTTTTATTGGTAAATATTTCAACTTTCTGCAGGAAATACTTATATATATATATATATATATATATATATATATATATATATATATATATATATATATATACACATTAAAGTACACAAACATTACAACTTTACAGATGACTTTATGGTTTTACCTCTCCTTTACATTTCACAGTTTTCTGAAGAAACTGTACTCTAACTCTCTAGAATGCCCAAGATCTTATGATAAACTTCGGTTTGATCCTCGGTATGTTTTATAATCATTGTAAACTTCTTGATTTTTTCCTTTTGTAATCTTTATGCTTGTTATTAAGTTATGTAGTTTCATGTTTTTTGTGCAGCAAACAGAATTGCAAGTTGTTTGCAACTCATGATGACTATAGCATCATGTCCAAACTCCCCAGAGAGAAAAGTTCAGTAGTAACCATACTTAGAAACCCCATTGATCGTGTTTTTAGTGCTTATGAGTTCTCTATAGAGGTAGCAGCTAGGTTTTTGGTGCATCCTAACTTGACTTCAGCCACAAAAATGTCTGGAAATTCGGGTTCAAAGAAAAGTGTTATAAGCACACTCGATATTTGGCCATGGAAGTATTTAGTTCCATGGATGCGGGAGGAACTATTTTCTCGGGTATGTTATCTTTGATACAAATTTCCTTATTTTGTTGATTGGGGTATAAATGTCAAAATCTATTTATTTGATCAAAATGAACAGCGAGATGCTAGAAGGAGAAAGGCTTCACCTAATTCTTATGGGGATGACTCATATAATATGGAGGAAATTGTTACACCATTACATGAATTCATCAATCATCCTGTAGCTCTGGATCTTGTTCATAATGGTGCCACGTTCCAGGTATAAGTAAACCCTTTATATACAAATCGATATAGCTTAAGTGTTATTGGTTCTTTTTAGGCGAACATTTTCTAATATAAATGTCTTTTTTTTTTTTTTTTTTTTTTTGTTATAGCTAATTGTTATTGGTGATAGATTGCAGGTTTGACAAACAATTCTAATACATGGAAGGTGCATGATGTACGCCACTGTGTAATGAATTATCAAACTCTTGGAAACTATGTGCTTGAAGTTGCAAAGGTATGATAAATAAAAGGTCTTGAAACAGATTTATAAAAAAATTTCAAGTTTAATTTATTCATGTTAAGGGTGTGTATTTGAGCAGAGAAGGTTGGATGATATGCTATATGTTGGACTTACTGAGGAACATAAAGAATCTGCTACAATGTTTGCAAACTTAGTTGGTGCACAAGTCATTTCACAGTTACTGGGGACTGAAACTGTAAATTATAATAAATTAGGTATCATATCTAATTACATACTTGTTTATTTCTAAACCATGAAAAGATCAAAACCATATTACTGCTTGTGATGCAGAACAGGGTTCTTTGGTTTCTAAAACTGGATTTCATACTTCTCATAATCAGGTAATAGTGGATGAACATCAGATCAATCTTATATAAACTTGTGCTAATAATGTCTTAATTTGCATGGTTTACAGGGTAACAATACATCAATCATTGAAGAACAAAATGAAAATGTATCTACTTAATTCTTTTCAGATTATTTCGACACTCTGATTTATTTATTATATATGTTGACTAAGGGAAGTTTTTTGTACTGATTAGATTAGTGTGGGAAAACTTATGGAAACTTATGAAACTTGTGTTTCTAAATTAAGATCGACTCAGTCAAAAAGGCGTATGAGTTCTTTGAGAAGGATCTTTCCTGCAAACTTTACAAAGGAGGTATATTTCTACAATTGTTTTGAATAAATAATCAAATGATTTTTTCTTTCTTTTGTGAATTGATCTTGTGAATCTTGACATTTTCAGGCTCGAAGACATGTTCCTGAAGAAGTTGTTAAGCAAATCACCTTGTTGAACAGTTTAGATGTTGAACTGTATAAACATGCAGAGATTATTTTTGAAAAACAGCATCAAAAGTTGTTTGATTCTTCCATGCCTGTAAGTTCCATCTGTTCTTAGGAACTTTCAATTCCATTGCATAATGGAATCTCTCATTCCTTAACAATCTTGACTGGATTCAATCATTTATGTTAACTTGTTAAAATGGATACTCACTCACAGGAGAGGTGGCAGATTATGAATGGTGAAAGCTACATTGGTTCTGAATGGGAAGTCGTTTGCTTATCTTTGTTCATATTCTTAGTGTTGTTTATTTTCTTTTATGTAAATGCAAAAAGAAGAATATCAAAATTAAAGATATAGATATAAATTATAATGATAGGGGGGAGTAAAATTTGTTAGAATATAGATGCATAGAGATATCAAACACTAACACCCCATTCTGTACACTTGTATATTTGGCCTTGTATTTCCATGTTAATGCTCTTTCATGCTAAAGTCAGTAAGGTTGTTTCTTTTTTGTCTTAATGGACTTAATAGGATAAGCATTTAATCTTGACACCTAATTATATTTATGTTGCTGTTTCGTTTATAAATTTAATCTTGACTTAATGGGTTAATGGGTTAAACCATAAGCCCATAAAACCAGGCTTAATGTGTTGAGATACCAATCTTTTACCTATACGTGCTTTTTTTCTATCTTACAAAATTTTTACATTAAATATTGTGAATATTGTTGGTTAGAATGCAAGTAAGTTGGTTATTTATTTTGTTTGGATCCAAGATGGATTGGAAGTTGGGAATTGGGATGAGAGATTGATGTTGGAAATTACCAAAATAACATGTTATTGTTTGTCAAAAGATATTTTATTTACATATGGGTTTTTAGTACACAAGGTTGACGTAACTATTACTGCTATAAATATTTTGTAAAGTTGATGATTGTAATAATATCCTAAAATTATCCTTCACAAAAAAATCCTCGCTCTATAATATGAGAGCAGGGTCTTTTAAGCTGTAAATTTTGTTTTAAATAAGTTTTATCCATCTAAATATTCTTATTACAGAATAAATTTTTTGATAATATACTTCTGATTTCAATATAAATAAAATACCATTCATGTTTTCAAAATCTTTTTACTTAAGCATGCAACGAAGTATCCAAACATTTGCATAAACATAAACTAGTTAAGTTTATGATAAATAGATATTTTGATTTTAGTATCTGATTATATAACGTTAAAATAAATATATATGAAAAACGACTAAAGAGTTTTTACTGAGTTTATTGATTATTGAGTTAGTTATAAACTTTTTGAAAACACCCCTATATCAAAAATAGCATAGTCTAAGTCAATCACAACATGCACTTTCATTTCCCTAAGCATATGCACCCCATGTTCTTCTCCTCCCCTACAACATGTGAAACATATGATCGCATGGTCAATAAGGAGTTTGTACATTCATGATAAGTCCAATCAAGATTTCTTCTATCTTCATTAGCCAAAAAATTCAAATCTGGATTTTCATAAAAAAATTATTATGTAATTCTCTTTCTTTCAAACACATAATCTACCCATTTCTTGTTTATACTTGATTGATCAGTCCCCTCCCCCCTTCCTCAAACTAGAGGCAGTTTGAGAGTTATTGCCATTAAAGGTTCGTTTGTGAGAATGATGCTTCAATTTTCAATGTGGGTGATGAGATTTTCTTTGTAACAACTTGTATGGTGGAATATCTGAGATCTTTTTATTGACAATCAAAGAAAGTTTATTCAAAGTGAAGTCCGTTGTAAACCGACGATTCCCTATCAAAAAATTCTCAACTACAACGGGATTGGATGGTGGTGGTACCCATGATAAGTAGGGAGGGTGATTGATGGGTATGGGTTTGGAACCATGGGATCCATCTCATAATAATAAATAAACAATAAAATTAATAAGTGGGACGCAAAATTAAATAGTATAATAGCGGAGAACCAAGTTCAAAATAAAATAAAATTTAAGTAAATTTACTCAAAATTTTATGAAGTGGAATAATCGAAGATGCATTAATAATTGGAGGGGTAATGTGGGGTGTCGGTGAATTACAAGCAACGCGGGACCCGATCCATGAAGTGGGGGCGATGCATGTGATGGTGGACCCCTTTTTGTTGTAATGTAATTAATCCCTTCACATTTACTCCCTATTTTTTCCTTTTATCACCTACATCTCCCCACCACCATATGGTCCCATGCACCATCACCCCTATTAACTCCTTCCATTTCTCATTTTCCCCTTTCCTCTTTGCCCTAATCTTACCACTCTTCTCTTCCCATTTCTCCTACAAATTAATCTATCTTTCCAATTGTTTATGTTTTTTCGACCTAAAACTCTCTGAGCTTTTGCGATGGTAAGAGGATTAGCCATGGAGTCACAGGTCAGTTTTCTTCTTCTGTCGCCATTGTTATATGAATATGAGATCTCAATCGATTAGATTCAGCTTTCTCTTGTCTTGATTTCCGTGAAAAGCGTGCTCAGTCGCTTGTTTAGGTTACTGCGAAATGTAGGAAGAAAGTAGGTGTTGTTTTGGTTCTGTTTTTAGGGTTTTGCTTTTTAGTTGTTTCTCCGTCGCAGACGGAGGCCATAGCTTTCGTGCTTTTTTGGGTAAGTTTGATGAACCGTATCCAGTTTCCCTTATGCTGCCGTTACGATGTCGTTTTTGCTTTTTCGAGTAGAAAGTTGAAAATATATTGTTATAGAAACTTACTCATTTTTCATTGTCTATTTGCTCTTCATGTTTAATTCGTAATTAACCAATTACATTTTCACCGATCAATTATTGTAAAAAAAAATGTGATTTTTTTTTCCTTTCTGATTTTACCATCAGATTTGTTTCAATTTTTATTTATATTCAGGATTCTGTAAAGCATATATAGAAAAAATCTCGGGTTATTTATTTATTTTTAAATCTTTTTGTAATTTAAAAAGTAGCAATAAATAATTCGACTTTTATTCTTAATTTATAAATCCATCTGTCACAAGAAAGTCACATGTGACTGTTTGATTCAGAAATATTATTGTGGTTCATGTTTAAAAATATCATAACGGCAGTTGAAGTTTGAACAATAAAGAGCATTAAATAACAATAATCTGGATCCATAAAATAAAAAGAATGTTTTTTTTTTTGTTTTTGTTTTTTTTAATTTTAATTTAGATCATGGAGGTTTCTCTCTCCCATTACACTTACACATTGTGTTCGCACGAACTTTCAGAAAAAGTCCAAGATTCATCAATCTCCAAATCTTCGATTACGTATTACCACTTCCAAAATTTCTTCTTTCTGATAATAATAACGAAAAATGTTCACGTTTATGTTCCAGGATAAGAGAATGTGCAAGACTGAATCTGCGTTTTCTGGTGTGAGCGTTGATTATAATCAAAATCAAAATCAAAATCAAAATCATCGAGTGTACGATGAGGATTGTTTTGGTGACATACTGAACATGTTTGATTTCCCGATGGAGGGTTTGGAAGGCGATGGATTTGCAGAGGATTGGGCCTCTAAACTTGGCCCTATACCTTCTGAAGTTTTCAAAGAACTCGGCGTCAGCAATACATTCGTCCCTTCCACAGATTTGCCCTTTGAGTATCCCGTGCTTGTAAGTTTAATTTTCCCCCCTTAAATTTCAATACATTTCATAATCAGTCCTTCTAAAATCATAAAATGATAAAATTCCTTGTTTTGCAGAATAATAGAGCTTTGTATTCTCAACCAAAAGAAGCCTTTGAAGCACCAAGCCCTAATTCAGTCCTGGAAAATCGATCCTCCAGCTCAAACAGTAAACCCATCTCCTTGGGAATCGAGCATTCCATTCCGGTTAGATCTCGAAGCAAACGATTCCGACCCACCACCAATCCATGGTTGCTGTCACCTCTGATATCCAAAGAAAGGAAGAGAAAAACAGCATCCGAGATTCCGGTTTTCATAAAAAGATCAAATGTCACGGGAAACGGAATCAAGAAATGTGCTCATTGTGAGATAACAAAAACCCCACAATGGAGGGAGGGACCGATGGGCCCCAAAACACTTTGCAATGCGTGTGGGGTCCGGTATCGGTCCGGCCGCCTCTTCCCGGAGTACCGCCCGGCCGCCAGTCCGACATTTGTTCCAGCACTGCATTCCAATTCTCACAGGAAGGTGATAGAGATGAGGAGTAAGACTGTTGAATAAGAGTGTAACAGAAGCATATCAAGGTAAGAGGCTTTTCTTGTTTTGTTTTTGTTTTTGTTTTTTTTTTGAAGTTTTTGAGTCGTAATGGTATGATGTTGATGTACAAAGATGAAAGGAAACAAGGACTCACCCACACCCGTTTTGGGGGGTAAATCGGTAATTAGTAGTAGGGTTTAAATCTAGCATGTGTTTGGAGGTAAATTAGGTTACAGTTTTGAGTTGTTTAGGAGTAGTTTAAGTAAGTTGATGTGAGATGTAAAGTATTTGTGTTAGATTATCGAACTGTTGACATTTGTGTTTTTTTTGTTGTGCTAGCTAGACCATTTTTTTTTTTTTTTTAAATCACAACACTGTTTCTGTTGAAATGTGCTTGATTATGTGTTTTGTGTTAACTTATTTGGGTTTTTTTATTGAAATTTATTTGTGAATATTGCAAATGATCATCACGTTTAACTCAAAAGTAAAAATATACAGGTTTATGTGTTTAACTCATTAAACCCGTTGTGTCAGAAAAAGAACAACCGCTGACTTTATGAGATATTTTTCTTGCGATTGTGTTCACCCTAATGCATTTTTAAAAAGTAATTAAATTTGCTATTTATCAACGTCATGACTTAGGCCTTGAGGTATATCGGCACCGCGGTGAGATGAGATGTCACTATGGTTTAGCGTCCACATGCAAGAAAAAAGCATCGATCACTCAATTTTTTTTCCGATGCTTTGTGTTATTGTACAATACATGTTGAAAATAATAAAACATTAAATATTAAATAATAACTCTTAAACTATTAAATAATGACTCTTAAACTAAGCTGAAATAAAAATTTATAATATTTTGAACCATCTATCGTAACCATATCATTTAATTAGCTTCTCCAAGTGGTTTTCGTTTAAATAAGCCTAAACATGGTTGTCGATTCAGTATTACGGTTCTTTACGATTGATTAATTTAAAAATTACTTATCTATTGTAATTTAAATAAGATTGTGTTTTTTTTTTTTTTTTTTTTTTTTATAAAATAATTAAAAGCCAATTATTTGGAAAGGAATGATTATAATAATTTTTTTTTGATATTTTTAATTAATTTGACTTGTCTTTTTACATTTATAAAATTTAAACATTTTTAACTATTTTGAAAAATAATATTTACATATATTTTTTAAGTTTATTTTATATTTTCATATATGTTTTGAATTTAATATAGGGTAAATGTCATATTAACTCACTGAACTTATCGTGTTTGTTCTGAAAGGTCACTCAATTTTTTTTAAAACATCTTTATGTGACCGAATACCAGATAACCTTTAAAATCTATGTTTGACCATTGTTTGACAATAACCTACGCCTGCATTGAAATATTCTAATTGTACTACATGAATAACAAATTTGTGGTTAACCAGATTGTTACATTTCACAAGAACTTAAATGGTGATGTTATATACATGTAAATTAGGGGAGATTTTATCTTTTTCCATTACCGAGAAAACATGCAATGCTTTTCTCCTATGGCCAGCCTAAGAACCCTTTTTTACATTGGATCCAGGCCAGATTTATGTAGCGGCTTTGAGCCCTTGGTTCGCGATTGTCTCCCATATGGGTTCGCCTAGCCACCATTTGGGTTCATGGCTGGCCATTGTGAAAGTATCACCTGCGATTGGATCATATTGGATCAGTGAATTTGTTGTTTATGATTCCATGATAAGCAGGGTATAATCTAGTGGTGATTGGATCAATGAATTTGCTGTCAATATGTAACTTCATCTCCAAGATGTAGCACATACAGACTTTCCTTCCTGCCAATAGGTCTTTGAGTAACCTTGAACTTGTGGGTTAGGGAGAATTATTGTAGGAGGTGGAGGAAGTGAAATTCCACTACAACGCGAAGAAGGGATTAATCTTTCACGTTGATCGTCTTGTGAAATATCATCTTTATGAAGAAAATCTTTTTCCAAAAGGATAAGTAAGACCATAGTTATCAGAACTAGACATTTATGAGGGAGAAGTTCAAGTTTAGTTTATTCAAGTCCTTAATATGAAACCCAACATGAAATATTAAGGCTATGACCCAATACAATATTTTACAATTCGGAAGACGGATGTCATAATCTGAATACAAGATATTTGAAGGTAGGTAAATGATGACTTACCAAGTTCCACCATGAAAAACGAAAAGGAATTTTGGGTTTTAAGTGAATTGAAACTCCTAAATCCTTTGAGATTCATTGAACTTTTCAATGGCATGTTTAAATCTCGATTGTGTCCTTCAAGTTTGTGACTGGGATGCCGAGGATCACAAACAAGGTGTGAATAGCCATGTAAATTAGCTTGGTACCCTTTGCCACACACTACCAGTCCTAGATTAATGTGTCGGTTAACCACACACGCTCCACTAACGACTTAACAAGGTACGAAGTGCAATTTCATCGGATAACACCATATTCACATTTTTCCTAAAGAAACTAAGATTGAGAATTTAATAAAAGTTTAGTTACTTCATAATTATCATTATATTTTTAGTGAAAATTAATTTCCTGTCAAACTCGTTCGGCTAACGACCCTCCACCAATCAAGGAAGTGGTGGGTGAGAGTGAATATCCATTAAACTGCCATTTTATAGGTGGTAATTAACCTTATACCTCCCCCCCCCCCCCCCTCTTATAAACCGACTTCATGAATGAGGCCTACTAACGGTAAGTCTGACTTATTCTTATATATATATATATATATATATATATATATATATATATATATATATATATATATAAAATTATAATTATAAACTTATAACCCTATAATAATATAAGAGTTGAATTTTAACTTTTAAAATTCTAAGGTTTAATTTGGAATTAAAGTATTCATTCGTGAAACTTTACAAATTCCAAAACTTGAGGGAAAGTTTTGAAACTTGTCAAAAAATTTCAAATCCATAACTTATGAGTTTAATATGGCTTTATGAAAAAACTTTTCAAGTTCCATAACTTGAGAACAAGTTATGAAAGACTTTAAAACCATTTAAAATGACTTTTAAAATGAGACTCTTGAAATTCTATAACTTGAGAACAAGTTATGGAGTTCATAAATTTTTTTTATGAAAAACTCTTCATTTTCCATAACTTGAGGACAAGTTATGGAATTCATAAAAAGCATTTAGATCAAATATTTCAATTAACACAATAATCAAATAACTTTTTTCTATGATTTAGATTAAACTCATAAGTCAAGATAATTCACATCAACTATTTACAAGAAATTAGTATTTCATATAAACTAATACAAATCTTGAAACTATGACAATTATCTTTTAATTGGACAAGCATGATCATTACCTTATGAAAAACACATTTCATGGTTCAAAAAACAGTTTGGGGTAGTGATCCTAATCCTAGTTGGCCAAAAAAAAACTCGAAATTCTACACACGGATGCATCACCATGTTGTGGTGGGCATGCAGAAACGAAAATTGCAGATTTTCCAGCTTTAAAAAACAATAAGCGTCAAGTATAATAGAAACCAACCCTAAGCTCTGATACCACTGAAGGGTTTTGGTATACTAAAACATCCTATGGTGCACATACAACCCTAAAAGCTTTGGATCTGTGTTTTCTTTAATTATACATGTAATATTGTTTCCAAAGGTTTAAGCCTACAACTAACATATACAATTGGTATAAACAACATGGAATTGAGTTATAGAGTTACCTCTTTGTTGTAGCTTGTAGTTTTCTTGAGTTTGGCCTTTAATAACTTAGTGCCCCAAGTGTTGCACCTCAAATGGAATCACAACACACCTAGAACAAAGGAGACTTTTGAGAGAGTATTTCTTGCACCAAAATTGGCTCATGGAACTCCAAGAACACTAGTGTCTCTTGTAGCCAATTTTGGATGCTAAAGGGCTTCTTATATAGTATGGCAAGATTAGGGTTACACCATGTAAACCCTAATGTGCATGACCTTCCATGTAAACCCTAATGTGCATGGCCTTCCATATTCCTTAGGATCCATAGGTTTAAACCCACATGGATCATCCATGGGTTGTAACATTGATTTAGTCCAACCTAGAGATCATGGATCATTGGCCCATACCATAAGAATGAATGATTTACCAAATCAACCCCTTATATTTATTTAGTCTCTTTTGATTACAAAATTAATTCCAAATTAATTCTTGACCAATACTAATTAAATAATATGAATTCATATTAATATATTAGAACTTATAATATATTAAAAAATCATAAATAACCTCTTCTCAAAAGTCCATCCTATCAAATTGTCCCGGTGATATGCAACCCAAATGGACCATGCTACTCTCGGGTCAAGTACATATCAATTATAGTTATGGGCATAGACACCTAATCCAAGGTTATGCGGTGGGAGGTTCCGAAATATCCCTCGGATATCAGGAGCTTTTTGGGATTGGCAGGGTACTACCGGAGATTCATATAAGATTTCTCCAAGATTGCAGTACCCCTCACTCATCTGACGAGGAAGGGGGTGGATTTTCCGGTGGGGGCCCGAGCAGTAGAAGACGTCTGAGACTCTCCGACAGTGACTATGCGAGGCTCCAATCTTGACTCATCTAGAGGGAGTCGAGGATTTTGTGGTGTTATGTGATGCATCCATCACAAGACTGGGAGGGGTCCTCATGCAGAGAGGACGGGTGATAGTCTATGCATCACGGCAGCTGAAGCCGCATGAGACGAGATACCCTACTCATGATTTATAGTTGGGAGCGGTGCTTTTTGCTCTCAAGATTTGGACACAATACCTATATGGGGTCCTGTATACCATATACACGGACCATAAGAGCCTGAGACACATCATGGATTAGCCAAACCTGAACATGAGATAGCATGGGTGGCTGGATGTAGTCAAGGACTACAAATGTGAGATCCTTTACCACCCAGGTAAAGCGAATGTGGTTGCGGATGCTCTGAGCAGCAAATCAGCTGGATATTCTACCCTAGTGGCATGTATGAGGATATCAGTGGATTCTCCACTTGTGAGCTTGATCAGGGAAGCTTTAGCAGAGGGTATGCGTCAGGAGAACTAGAAACTTGAGAGGATTAGGGGTGAGAACACCTAGTTTGT